TAGCTTAGGCTGTGCATTCGTAAAGTTATTTTTTTTTGGATTGCTCTCTGTATTGTTCAAAGTGCACATTATGGTGAAATTATTTTCCTCCAAATACGCATGTCTTCTAAAGCTAAGCAGCCCCCCTTGACGATTAAGAATAGTATTGTTTACTTTCCGTATTGCATTAGCTGTGTTGCTCACTTCCTTTTATTTTATTATATTTTTGGGGGCTGTTTATTTATTATTATTATTATTATTTTATTTTATTTTTTTCTTTTCCCCTTCTCCATGAGTTTGTCTGCCCAGTTTCTTTTTTTTTTGTCTTTTGCTTACTAGAGTGTAATTTTTGTTTTCTTTGAAATTGGAAGGTTTGTACTTTTTTTTTTCTTTATTAAAGTTTAGTTGTATAAAACATGTTGGGTTGATATTAAGTGGATTCTTCCTATTAAATTTGGCCCATGTTCTGGTTCCTTGTCTTCACTTTGAATAATGTTCACTCGATTGGATATTAGATGTGTGCGAAAGTAAATGTTGTCATGGGTGTTAGTGTCTGCCAGGTTATCGTGAGGAAAAATCGATCTTACTACCATCTTGTATATTTAGTTATTTTTAGTGAGTATCCAATTTTGATTATTTACTAATCCTTATTATTTTTTTATTTTATGCATGATCTTCCCCGATTTGGGTCTATCGAACCCTCTCCTTTATTACTTGCATCTCGAGATTGGTTGAAGCTCAACACTTCCTTCTTATCGAGTTAATCGGGTCAATGGAAAGGAAGAACAGGTCCTTTTAAAAATTGACGAACAGAGATTAGAGCCGATATGGATTTCTGTACACTAGGTGTATACGAAAAAATGAAAAGGGGGCTTAAAAGGCCCACTCCTTATTTTACAAGTTGTATCTTGTTACTTTTGGGCCTAAGCCCACTTTGCTATTATTTTGTTAGATTTTAGGACAGGTGGAAGGACATTGGGCCTAAGGTCCAAAAGAAATGTCTTATGTATATTAGACTAGCACAGGTGCAGGTGATTCAAATGGGCCAAATGCCCAAAACGAAAATGGGTCCAAGTACTGGCCCAGGCAAACAGATCCAGACTCGGGCCCAAACTTCCTTTCCTTATCTATTCAATTGCTATTATATGTTTTATTTGCTAAAATTAATCTTAAGATTCTAAAAATTCAACTCCCCAAAAGATAACCATTTTGAATTAGCTATTTAAAATTAAGCAAACATTTTTCTACTAGACAAATTTTCAAGAAAATTTGCAAAATGTTATACTTAAATAAATATCCACTTTCTCCTTTAAGATCTTTTAAATATTAAACTGTTTACTTCTTAATTAATTTAAGTATGTCATGCTTTATTTTAAAATCAATTAGCCAAATAGTTAATTACCGGATAACCGCGTGTTAGCGGGCATTTTGGGTGCTTTCAAACCCTTCCCGAAATGCTAATATGAACCCCGAACCCTTCAAATATTTTCAATAGATTTACTGTTTTAATCTATTTGAAAAATGAATAGTTTTCTTAATTTTTCCTTAAAAATTAAGTGGCGAATCTTAAAACCAGTCCAAAATATATTTTAAATAAAACAGGGCTGATATTTCCAAAGTGCCTTCAATCGAGTCTGTTTCGATAGTCCGTGAGTTTACAGATGTGTTTCCTGCTGATCTACCTGGTATGCCACCAGATAGAGATATTGATTTTTGTATTGACCTGGAGCCGGGGACTCGCCCCATTTCCATTCCACCTTATAGAATGGCCCCAGCTGAGTTAAGGGAGTTAAAGACCCAACTTCAGGAGTTGGTAGGTAAAGGCTTTATTAGACCGAGTATATCTCCTTGGGGTGCTCCAGTTTTATTTGTGAAGAAGAAGGATGGTAGTTTTTGGATGTGCATAGACTACAGGCAGCTGAATAAGGTAACTTTTAAGAACAAGTACCCCATTCCTCGCATTGATGACTTGTTCGATCAGTTACAGGGTGCTTGTGTCTTCTCTAAAATTGATTTGAGATCCGGTTATCATCAATTGAAAATACGGGCAACGGACGTGCCAAAGACTGCTTTTCGAACCAGGTATGGGCATTATGAATTCTTAGTAATGTCCTTTGGGCTTACGAATGCCCCTGCTTCTTTCATGAGCCTAATGAACTGAATTTTTAAGCCATATTTAGACCTCTTTGTTATTGTATTCATTGATGATATCCTGATATACTCAAAGAGCAGGAAGGAACACGAGGAGCATTTGAGAATTGTATTAGGGTTGTTAAGGGAGAAAAGGCTTTATGCCAAATTCTCCAAGTGTGAGTTTTGGCTCGATTCAGTGTCCTTCTTGGGGCACGTGGTTTCTAAGGATGGAGTGATGGTGGATCCCTCTAAGATTGAAGCAGTGAAGAGTTGGGCAAGGCCTACTAATGTTTCAGAGGTAAGGAGCTTTGTTGGTTTAGCTAGCTACTACCGTCGATTCGTACAGGGATTCTCTTCCATTGCTTCCCAGTTGACCAATTTGACCAAGAAGAATGTTCCATTTGTATGGTCAAATGAATGTGAAGAAAGCTTTCTGAAACTCAAGACCTTGTTGACTTCTGCACCGATTCTTGCCTTGCCCGTGAAAGGTAAGAATTTCATTGTTTATTGTGATGCATCTTATTCTGGTTTGGGTGCAGTGCTAATGCAGGAGAGGAATGTAATTGCCTATGCTTCAAGGCAATTGAAAGTGCATGAACGTAACTATCCGACCCATGATTTAGAGTTGGCTGCAGTTGTATTTGCATTGAAGCAGTGGAGGCATTATCTATATGGGGTCAACTGTGAAGTGTATACAGATCATCGCAGTTTACAATATGTGTTCACCTAGAAGGATTTGAATTTGAGGCAGAGGAGGTGGATGGAGTTATTGAAATACTATGATATTACTATGTTATATCACCCGGGAAAGGCTAGTGTTGTGGCAGATGCTCTAAGTAGAAAAGCAGGGAGCATGGGTAGTTTAGCCCACTTACAGGTTTCTAGACGCCCATTGGCTAGAGGGGTGCAAACTTTGGCTAATGACTTTATGAGGATGGAAATACTTGAAAAAGGAGGATTCTTGGCCTGTGTGGAGGCAAGATCTTCTTTTCTTGACCAGATTAAGGGAAAGCAGTTTGAGGATGAGAAGCTGAGTCGAATTCGAGATATGGTGTTGCAGGGAAAGGCTAAGGAGGTTGTGATTGATGAGGAAGGCGTCTTGAGAATTAAGGGGCGGGTGTGTGTGCCCCGTGTTGGTGACTTGACTCATACTATTCTTACAGAGGCTCATAGTTTGAGGTATTCTATACATCCTGGTGCAACCAAGATGTATCGTGATCTGAGACAACATTATTGGTAGAGTAGAATGAAGCGTGACATTGTTGATTTTGTTGCCCAATGTCCGAACTGTCAGCAGGTAAAGTATGAACATCAGAGGCCTAGAGGGACACTTCAGAGAATGCCCATTCTGGAATGGAAGTGGGAAAGAATTGCAATGGATTTTGTGGTTGGTCTTCCAAAGACATTAGGTAAATTTGATTCTATTTGGGTAATTGTTGACAGGTTAACTAAGTCTGCTCACTTCGTTCCGGTCAAGATGACTTACAATGCAGAGAAGTTAGCCAAACTCTATATCCGTGAGATTGTTCGATTGCATGGAGTTCTAGTTTCCATCATATCAGATAGAGGTACGCAATTTACTTCTAACTTTTGGAGGACCTTGCATGATGAATTAGGTACTAGATTGGATCTTAGTACCGCATTTCACCCTCAGACCGATGGACAGTCTGAGCGAACAATTCAAGTGCTGGAGGATATGCTTCGTGCGTGCGTGATAGATTTTGGTGGTCATTGGGATCAATTCTTACCCTTAGCAGAGTTTTCATACAACAATAGCTACCACTCGAGTATTGATATGGCCCCATTTGAGGCATTGTATGGGAGGAAATGTAGGTCTCCCATTGGCTGGTTTGACTCATTTGAGGTGAGGCCTTGCGGTACCGATCTCTTGAGGGAATCGTTAGAGAAAGTGAAATTCATTCAGGAGAAGCTTTTAGCAGCTCAGAGCAGGCAGAAGGAGTATGCAGATTGGAAGGTTAGGGACTTGGAGTTTATGGAAGGTGAGCAAGTTTTGCTAAAGGTTTCACCCATGAAGAATGTAATGCGGTTTGGTAAGCGAGGTAAGCTTAGTCCGAGGTACATTGGGCCATTTGAAGTTCTTAAGCGCGTGGGGGAGGTGGCCTATGAATTGGCCTTGCCTCCAGGGTTGTCAGGAGTGCACCCGGTATTTCATGTGTCCATGCTGAAAAAATACCATGGTGATGGAAACTACATTATTCGTTGGGATTCAGTATTGCTTGATGAGAATCTGTCTTATGAGGAGGAGCCTGTAGCTATACTAAATAGGGAGGTCCGCAAGTTGAGGTCAAAGGAGATTGCATCTATCAAGGTTCAGTGGAAAAATCGGCCAGTTGAAGAGTCCACTTGGGAGAGTGAGGCGGATATGCAAGAAAGATATCCACATCTTTTTGTTGATTCAGGTACTCTTTCTTACCTTTGCCTTCTTTTGCTCATTCGACGACGAACGATGGGTAAATTGGTATCTAATGTAACGACCCATTTGGTCGTTTTGAGTACTAGAGCTTTTTATTTCATAAAATACTTTCCGATAGATTTTAAATGGGTACTTTGGACTATTTGTAACTACAATTATGAATTTAGTGGGATAGTTTTGATAATTATTTTAGTTGGTGGTGAAAGGAGATAACATTAAAATTAGTAGTGGGCCACTTTTACCACTTTTATAATTGGTCATATAATGATTAGGGTAATGAATAATCTGTAAAAACAAATTGAGAAGAGGGTTTATTCGTGTGAAAAATACGCAGAGCAGCAGGCGAGCTTCTCAAGTTTGGTTCTACAAATTGTTCTATTTCTAGTGTTAAATTTTACATCAATAGTAATGTGGAGATGAATTGTCGTCAGACTGTAAGGGAAATTTGTGGGTATTGATTATTGACGCCTTAGGTTGAAAACTTTGGTGGAAACCTTGTTTGTTTAATCTACGTGGAACCTGCAGTCATTAGAAAAATTCCAAGTGATCAACTTCAAGATAATGATGGGAATTGTTAAGGGGTAAGGAAATTACTGCTAAATTTATATATGTGCATATGGTGTTACAGGAGTTGGTTTTATGGACCGGCAAATTGGGTTTTTGAATGAAAGTGGGGGTGGTAATTATTTAATTGCACGGATAGTTGCTAGTGGATTAAAGAAATTATGAAGTGGAAAGGTGTAGCGATAATATGCATGCATTTGATTCACTGATTGGTTAATGGCAATAGGATACTTGGAAAAATATAGAATCCATGTATGTGGGAGGTTACATTAAACTTCCAGCCATCATCCTTATACAGTAATGCTACGGTCAATTGTAATATGTGGGTTTGGTCCTTATCTTCTTAAAATTATCAGGTTGTGATTTAAGTTTTAATAAATTGAGATAGGTAATTAAATATTAGGTACATTATATTATTTTAATATCATTAAAGTTATGTCAATTGGAGGAATTAAGACTTACCCTTAGGTTTGAACTGTAGAAAATTGATTATAGAATTAGGTGGGTTTTTGGATCTAGGTTAGACATAGAATAATATGAGTGTTTATAGACTCGTCAACTTACAAATTATGCACATATACTTTATAGATTGGAAAGGTTCAGAGGCATTGAGGAAGGGAAAATCATTGGAGAAGTAGTTTGCTTGACTTCGGTTCTTCGGTGGAGGTAGGTTATGGTTTATTCTATTTGATAGATAAACTCTTAATAGCGATTGATATGCATTGAATGATACTGTGAAGTTCTCTATGCACTTGATTGTGTGATTGTGTGGCTTGGTTGTGTGGTTTGTGATTGGTCTAAAATCCTGAGATCGTGAGATTTATAATTTGAAAACCTCTATATCAAAGTGATGCCTTGAATAAAGAAGGTTTGATGTAATAGTATTAATGAATTGAAAAGTGGTGATAATAAATGATAAGTTAATAATATTATTGGATCGGAGTGTCACGTTCCGACACGGTATTACTGGATCGGAATGTCACGTTCCGACACGGTAACATTAAAGGAAAAAGATATTGAATTAACTTAATGTACTCAATCTCAATGAACGCATTTCCCAAACGAGTGTGCTGTGGAGGCATGAGTCCTCGTGTGTGTGTTGATATTGTGATTGATTGCGTACTTGCTTCAACTGTCACTTGTTCTTGTTGTTGTTTCTTATCACCTGCTAAGTGTTATAGTTGACTTTATACTATTATTCATTGTATATTAGTTTCTATTTTGGGTTGGCCGATGATACCTACTCAGTACATGTTGCCCCGTACTGAGCCCTACTTGTATTTTTCTTTGTTTTCCTTTTATGGAGTGCAGCGAGTGTACCAGCGAATTTGACTCGCCCTCAGCTCTAGCCAGTCTCAGCATATCAGGTTTAAGGGTGAGCTATTTATTCGCGCTTGTGTTGGATTCTCTCGGGCATGACCTGATG